TGAAAACATGTATTCACAAAGGTATATGCACCCGTATGTTCATTGTAGCATTATTCACAATGGCCAAGACATAGAAAGAACCAGTGTCCCAAGACAGTGGACTGGTAAAGAAGATGTGGTACATCTGAACAATGGAATACTGCTCAGCTATAAGAAAGGATGAAATCCTGCCATTTGCAACAACATGGATGGACCTTGAGAATATTTGGCTAAGTGAAATAAGTCAGTCAGAAAAAGCTAAAAACCACATGATTTCACTCATATGTGGAATATAAAATTGAAACTCCTGAACACAAACAGCAGTGTGGTAGTTTCCAGAGGGAAAGGGGGTAGGGGTGAATGGGGTCCTAATATATGGTGATGGGAGATGACTTGACTTTGGGTGATGGGCACATAGTGCAATATATGGATCTTGTAACATAGAAACCCACACCTGAAATCTGTATGATCGTATTAACCAATGTCACCTCGATAAATTTAATAAAAAAGGAAAAAAAAGAGAAAGAGGGCCAATTCATTTACTATGTATTTTTTGACCTAACATTTCAACATAGTATCAATTCAACATTTAATCAATACAACATATTGGGATAGTTTACTTTCTTGAATACCTCACTCAAAAAGTGAAATCTATGCTCCCTCCAGAGTGTCCAGGGTTTGTGGTCTGCTCTCACCTGCCCTTGTGACTTCTTTACCCCAAATTCACCCTACACTCACCCCAGCTTTGCTCAAACAAGCTCTCCTCCTGCCCCTGGGACCATAACTCCTGGGGGGCCCTCTCCGGACCACTGTGCATGGCTCTCTGCACTAAAGACAGTTGCTCTCTGCGTCAAGGTCACATCCTCAGACGCCTCACCAACCCTGTCTCTGTCCCACCCATCACTCAATTATCCTCATGGTTCCTATCTCGTCTCTCTGTCACCTTCAACTGTCTGTCTGAGTCCATCTCAGAAGAACAGCTCCAGGAGGGCAGGGGCCAGGCACTCAGGAGCCATTTAATAAATAAATACCTGTAGATAAAGAACCAGGAACTTCAGAAATCAGAGGGCTGGGAACACCTGGAGACAAGGCGGGTAAGGGCTTGAGATCAGTGTTAGAATGTACCTGACGAACACTTCTTCTCTGCGTGGCTGGCAAGCAATCCTTTTGGGGCAGGCGAAGTTATGTCCGGCTTTGTGATTGGGCGTGAGGCAACTGGGATCTGTGGGGACAAAGCAGGGATAGGCATCAGTGGCTTCCTGACTCTCCTCCCGCCCCGGACCCCTCTCACATTCTCGTCACCCCAACTACCTAAAGCAACAAGAACTGGGACCTTTCTTCCAGCTCTATCCTCATTCTTCTGTTTCATGTTTGTCCCTTAGCCTTTGGGACTAGCAAGTAACTCACGCCTGAAAGAGTTTCCAGTATTCTTTTATCTTATACTAAAACAAAATATACTTATTCCACATGTGCAAAGTTAATCATAAATGGTAAGCACCATTGCAACCACATCAGTAAATCCTCAAAACACTTCAATTCAATGATAGAAATGGTTAGAATGGATGAAGAACAAGACCCAAGTACATACTGTCTATTAGAGATGCCATTTAAGAAAGCAAGACACATTGATATATTGAACGCCAAGGGATGGAAAAAAGATATATAACATACAAATACTAAGCCTAAGAAAACTGCTGTGCTGTCTTAATATCAGATGAAGTTGGTTTAAGACAAATAGCATTACCACAGGTAAAGAAGGACCTTTTGCTGTGTGAAAGGGTTAATTCCTCAGAGTCATAATAATTATAAATGTATATGTGCCCAACAAAAAAGCTTCAAAACACATGAAGCAAAATTAGAAAGAGTTAAAATGAATGTATAACATCCTTTTCTCAGCAACTAATGGAGTGATCTGATGAAAACAGTAAAGTCAAGAGAGATTTGAACACTGTCAATCACCTTGACTTAATTGACATTCACATAACAGATGTGCAGCATCTACAGAAAACACATCCTTTTCTGGTGAACATGGCACTTTTTGAGTCCAAATAAACTTAAAAGAAGTGAAATTATCTCTATATATAAAAGCCTAATATGAAAAATTGTGCCCTGGGGAGTTCAATCGGGAGATCGGGAGTTCAATCGATCACTATGACGTGCGCTGACCACCAGGGGGCGGCACAGAACGAAGGAAGGCCCCAGCCGGCAGCCAGAAGGAAGGCCCCAAATGGCCCTGATCACCAACAGGTCCTAGGGACCCTACCTGTGCACAAATTTTGTGCACCAGGCCTCTAGAATCATGTATATTCTCTGATCTTGATAATACATTGGAAATCAATAACAATATCTACAAAGGCCTCCAATGTAATTAAAACCACAATGAGAACAAACAAACAAAAAATCACAGACATTCCAGAAAACTGGGATCTTAAGCCAGTCAAAGGAATGACATTTCAATTTTTCATTTTTATTATTTTATTATTATTTTGTGATCTTTTTTTTGCTTTTTTCATTGTTTTCCCTTTTTTTGTTTGTTGCTTCTTTTTTGCTTTTTTCTTTGTTCTCCTTTTTTTGTTTGTTTGTTTGTTTGTTCCTTTATTATCTACTTCTTTTCACATTATTTTTTCAACCACGTGAGCAGCAGACACATGAGCGGCACACTCTTGTCCAGGGAGCATCAGCCCCGTGAGCAGCCTGCCTCAAGCCTAAGAGCAGCAGCCTCATGTGGCCTGCCCCTGTCCAAGGAGCAGCAGCTGTGTGAGCAGCCCACTTCCCTGTCAGAGGAGCAGCAACCACACGAGCAGTCCAACCTGTCCGAGGAGGAGCAGCCGCACCAGCAGTCTTCCTACGTCTGAGGAGCGGCAGCACTGCGCAGCCCGCCCCCATCCGAAGAGTAGCAACTGCGCACAGCCCGCACCCTGCACTAGTCTGAGGAGCAGCAGCTACACAAGCATCTTGCCCTCGCCCAAGCAGCAGCAGCCGCACGAGCAGCCTGCCCAACCCGAGGAACAGCAGCTGTGTGTGCAGCCCGCCCCCATCCAAGGAGCAGCAGTTCTGTGAATGGCCCGGCCCCATTCGAGGCGCAGCAGGAGCCCACCCCGGTCCGAGGAGCAGCAGCCACACGAGCAGACCGCCCACATCCGAGGAGCGGCAGCCCTACGCAGCACGCACCGGTCCAAGGAGCAGGGCCACAACAGTCTGCACCTGTCCGAGGAGCAGCAGCCGGGTGAGTGGCATGTCCCCATCTGAGGAGGAGCAGTCACGCGTGCAGCTCACTCCCATCCAAAGGCCAGCAGCCTCGCAAGCAGCCCACCCCCGTCCGAGGAGCAGCAGACTTGCAATCAACCTGTACAAGTCCTAGGAGCAGTAGCCCCACAAGCAGCCCACCACCTCAGGGAACAACAGCAGCATGCAGCCAGCCGCCATTCAAGGATCAGAAGCCACGTGAGCAGTCCGCCCCAGTTCAAGGAGTAGCAGCTGCGTGTGTAGCCCGCCCCCATCAAAGGAACAGCAGCCTCATCATCCCC